CTCTCTCTCTCTCTCTCTCTCTCTCGCTCTCTCGCTCTCTCTCTCTCTCCTTCTCCTCCTCTGTCGTGACGTGCTTGCTGCACCGTGCTCCCTGCGGTGGTCAGACGATGCCCTTGCCCGTGTACCTAACGCTGCTGCCCGTGGTCGCTGGCGTCGCGCTCACTTGCTGCGGCCAAGGGCTGAGGTTCAGGTGCGTGAATGTGACGCACATATTGCAGCCAATGCGGGGTGTTTAGTGACTTGCGTGGGCATGCCGCTTGCGGCAACGACTGATTCCACGCTCCCGCCCAGTTTGCTGTTGCGAACGGCCGGTTGTCATCCTTCGCATGTATTGATCGTCGCACGAGTTTTTCCCTTGTGCTCGTAGCAGTGAACGAACGGTCCACGCAATAGCCATCGCGTTCAGCGGTGGCATAAAAATGTCACCTTTTTGTCAACTTGGTGTTATATATATCGCGAAACCTCTACGAGAACGCGCTGCAAAGAGTAACCTTGTGGTGTTGGTGACCTTCGACCTTCGAGAGGCGAACACCTTTCGAACCCGACTTGTCTCGCGACGCACTCGTGACTAGATTAGGCGAGAGACAAGCACCAGATCGGGACCAACTTTGTGCTGCTACACACTTGTTGACGGCCTTGTCTGCAACGCGACACGCACACGAAACCTTTGCCTTGCGCTGTCCATTCTAGAACAGAACCCATCATCACCAACAACAACTGGTGCAGGCCGTATGCTTAGTAGGGTAAACTCCAACCAACTCCCCCCCCCCCCCCCCCCCCCCCCCCCCCCCCCCCCCCCCCCCCNGCTGGCTGGCTCTTTTGTCGGCCCTCGTATCCAACGTCACAAACGCCATGCGGAACGTGCTAATTGTCAAGAACATCGGCCCCACCGCCGCCGCGGCCGGCCGCCGCCGCAACAGCCTCGAGACGGAAGTCTCGTCGCCCCGATCCTCGGGCTCCTCCTTCCTCCGGCCTACCGCCGCCAACACCGCCGGCGACCCCTCCTTCTTGAGCAACCCCGTAGCCAGGAGCGCGTCGGCCCTCGCCAACACGCGCGCCGGGGGGGAAGCGACCACGCAGAGGAGCCGGGAGAGCGGGCTCGCGAGCCTCGCCCGCGGGGACACCTACCGCCTCCTCACGGTCGTCGGGGCGGCACTGATCATCCCCGCCGCCGCGTACATGGAGCGCGACTCATGGCCGAGGCTGTGGCGAGCGGCGATGGACGCGACCGCTGCCCTCGTTGGGCGGAGAACCTCCGCCGACGGCTTGCCTCCTCTCCCAGGGGAAGCTCTGCTGAGCGCGGTGGGGTCCGTCGAGGACTCGTCGGCGGCCGGGGGGAGGGTTTCCGCTGTTGCGGAGGCGGCGGTGAGGGGGCAGTGGGCGGAGGCGTTCCGGCGGGCGGTGCTTGCCGGGGTCTCGTTCAACCTGTTCTACGACCTGACGTTCAGGCTGCTGGGGCAGCTGCACCCGGTGACGCACGCCGTGGGGAATACCATCAAGAGGATCGTGGTCATCGCCGCCGGGGCCTTCGCCTTCGGGGGGGATCTTGGCGGCGCTCGCGGCGTCATGGGTTCGGCGCTCGCGGTCATTGGGGTCTTGGGGTACAACCTGTCGAAGGCGCGGTGTAACACGACGACGACGACGCGTACCAGGTGCACCGGTTGAGTGCCAGTTTGGTTTCGTTGCAGGGTTAGGGTTGTAATTTTTGAGAGCTGAGGACTAGTCATGCATATACATCAAGAAAGTAAGGAGTTTCGCCTTACTTCTCAAGTGGTGTTCGTGTGCATAGAAGGAGGCAGTGGGGGAGGGGGGGGGGAGGGAGGAGTGGAGTGGTGACCCCGACACGAGCTGTATTTTTCGGTGGTTGTTTTTTGTCGTTGGAAGATGTAGTATACGCGCCCGGAGTCTCTCTCCCCGTGCATTTAGATTCGCCGTATGTACAACGGTACGATGGTCGACGGACGCTACCAATGTACAGCGTAGAAGAAAACGAGCCACAGTTGCTCTACCCGTAGAGACATGTTGCAAGGTTTTGGCGAATCTAGGTGTTTCTGTGTGTTTTCCCGCTTTTTAAGGGTCCTCCCGTCACTCGGGGGCCCCCGCGATTTGCAGGCACCCACCTTTCAAAGATACCATTGGCACCCACCATGATTATCCACCGTGATTGGTAAAGCCCGTTGTGGGTGCTAAGGTATACCTGGTATTAACCATGTGGCTGTACTCTTTTCTTGGTAGCAATTTTAAGTGTGTTTCTTTTGTAACTGTGTTGTGTCCGAAGAGTCATGGAAGTTCCGAACCGCTGGTAACCTTCCATCCCTCACTCGCACGACGACCATGTTCAGAAGTTTTACCGCAAGGCGTCGTCGTATTACACGCGACTTCAACTTGAACGCTGTGTATATCTTTAGAGGGTATGTAGCTGAGTAAGTTCTGCGGCCCAGAGGTCGTCTTGTCGGGGGGCGTCTGGCTCAAATATACTCGGTGGTGCTGTGGCGTTTTTCCCACTGCTACAGCTGTTGCAGTTGAACACGATGATGATGGGATAGAACTGATTTATTTTAAATAGAAGCGGGGCATTGGCGGGCCAATTTCTGTTTTCAACGGGGTTATGTGTCACTCTGTGATGCGGAGGAAACTCCAGCCGAGGGGTGGCGCAGGTTTTTGACAAGTGCACCCAGCTTGCTCTGCACACAGTACAGGGGGGGAAAGGGTAAAACATTCTTCTTGTCTTTTTTGAGGCGGTGCCGCTGCTCGTCTAAGATTACAATCAAAGGGGTAAATAATAGAGGTTGCAGGGAGTTGAGAGAAGCACGGGCAGCAGCAATTGAAGTATGGTTTCAGTGTGTTTCCCGTTTCTCTTGCCGTGGATCGATGCGCTATCGGAGACGGTTACGGGATATGTAGAGGGCAGAACTTTAAGGTATGTTCATGAAGACGACGACGACAAGAACAACAACAGCACGCAGTATGAGCAGCAACAGGGAGCGGATACAGGAGCACACGATCGCGCACGACTGCCCTCCCGAACATTGTGTTGCACAGAGGCAATATGATTCGTTTGAGACGCTCCAAAGCCGTGGTGGATGTGGGTTGATCGCACAGCTACTGTTTTGCCACGAGTCGGGTCGGCTCGATGCAGATGCCCACCCTCCTGGTACAAGACGTTATGCACATTCGTCCGGACGGATTTTGATTCCACAGCAAGCAGCAAGCGTTTCGTCACCGGTCAGCTCGTTGCAGGCACCCTCCCTCCTGGTACCTCTGGTATACGTACAACGCGTGGCGACCAAGACGTAGATTTTTACTGCACCCGTGGCCGTTCCGCACATGGTGTTTACGTTTGTTTGCCGTCCCTTCGTTTCTAGACGCAAAAAAGGAAGTTGTTACGCCTTTCTCTGTGCTTTTGTGTGTGGACGAACCAGCCAGGGTTAACCCCGGGAGTTTTGGGAGGGTGTTTTTCTCCACCTCCCTCACACTGCCCTTCCTTCTTCATGTAGCCCCGCTGGCTGCCGCCATCGCCGTCTACACAGATGGCTCTTACGGATGAATATTGATCGAGTCGTCTCACACCACACGGCAGCAAATACTTGCGACAAGTTGTCCCCGGCTGATTGTGTGAGCCCCAACAACCTCCACTATTACTAATAGGAATGGTAGGTCAGATCCTGAACGTCCTCCGGGGGGTGTCCCACTCGAATCGGTTGAAGATGACACGCCCGAGAGATCAAAATGCTCAAGATATACCGCTCAGAAGGTGGCATATTTTCGTTCTCCCTGCGTTGTAACGCCGGGATTGGCCGCGGCTCGTGTCCGGTGAGATTCGCACGCGATGCCATGAGCAGCAAGCAGCAGCTGTCGTCAATTTTTGCAACCAAATCTAGAACCAATTTGGAAGCCGGCGGGCAAGCGTAGGCGCCCAAAACGCTCCCCTTGTTCAACCTCACTACTGTACATCTACGTGCGTCGACCAACCGCCAAACCTTCCCACCAACACGAACAACAATGTGGTCCTCCCACACTCCCGCACGGAATCCAGGGCACCCTCAGCACCGTTTCCAACACATCCCACCACGTACGTCCAAACTACAACAAACCGTCCGTCGACCATATCACGCCAAGACAAAGCCACCACAACCGCCCAGAACCGGGGGGGGGGGGGGGGGG